CCGATAGTCTTTTACTAAAGAAGGTTCAAAGCCAAAAGTTACTTATCCCTATTCAGAATATTTCCAATTAAATTCTCTGAGTCTGCATTAAGTCTTACATACTTTTCCGTCATTTTATTCATGTGGGGGATTGTTCAAAAAATGGTTTGGAAACTATTAATAGGTGAATAAGAAATTGACTCCAAAGTGCACCATTTGAGTATGGTTCTAAGACGAAATTTATTTAATTTACAATATGATTTTATTTAGATAAATTCGTTAATTTTTTGAGTCAAAATTAAACAGGATTTGATTCAGAATTCGAATATGTTTGAAAGAACAGTCTTATCTGCTCTTTGCACCTATTCCATGAAAGAGTTGTGTCTCTTCACAGAAAAGATGTGTCTTTTCATTGAAAAGTCACCATGACCTTTCAAAGAGCCATCAATTCACCTATATAAATAAACCCCCATTGCATTCATTAAATATAAAGAATTCATCTCGTGTTTCTTTCCTTCTGCACCCTGTCTTTTCTGTAAACGAATTCTGCACAGTAAGGTTCGCTAGACTTGCCGTGATAGTGCTGCTTCTGTAAGGTTCGATCGTTGTATCCTAGGAGACGAACGACCAATAAAAACTCATGAGCACCGTAGCGGGGGACGCATTTGTCTTAAAGAAATTATGTTTAACACAAGCCTCATTCAAATTGTTTTTCGTTTTCAAATTTTTACAATATGTTTGTAAGTTTTCTAAATATTTTGGGTTTTCGAAATATGATTTGATTTTGTTTAACCCAAACAATTTACGCTATATTCAACTTGTATTTTTTTTAATATAATTTGATAATATATTTGGTACAATTATTATATGTTACAATTGTACACATGAGAATTATTCCAACAATTTAATCTTATTGTTTGATGACTGTATTGCCATGATTGTTTTCTAGTGATTTTCTTTAATTTTTTTCAAATTTTTATCCCTTGAATCTAGAAGGTCATGCAATCTTGATGGTCCACATATAGTGACATGTGAAAAAATAAATAAAATATAATTTAAAAAATGTGATGAATATGCACTATATTAGTATATTAATCCTTAAACATCATGCTAATAAATAAAGTTATAAATAATCTAATTGCTTTGAATATGACAAAAGTAGTATGATGCTGCATTTTTAATAATTTTATTTATACCCATCAATATGTATAATAATAACTTTATACCAATGATAATTGTTTGAATGAGTCCACGCGTGATCATGATTTGATAATTGAAAGAGAGGGAAGATGATGTGAGTCATAAAAGTGGAGAAGATAATGGAAATGATAATGAGAATTGGAGAGAGAAAGTGAGAGAATTTTCCAAAGGTGGTTGTGCTATTGACCATTGAGACAAATAATGGAAGTGGTTGTGTTATTGTCCATTGAGGGAAAATTTTCCAAAGAGAAATAATGGAAGTTGCAATTCATATGTAAGAGATATCATATGCTTTCACACTTAAAAATAATGTAATTTATCTCTAATTTGATCATTACAATTTAAATTATGTCAAGTTTATTTTATTTTTTGACAATTTAGTTTTTTAAAATTATAGAGAATAAAATGGTCAATTCATTCTCTTCAAACTGATTAAGGGATTGACATATAATTTAAAATGGTAAATTTCCTTTTATATAGATAATTTTTTTTTATCTTTAATTTTGTATAATTTATTAATGGATGTTATCAATTGAATTAAATTGACACAATGTAAAAACATTCAAACGAAAATTTGAAACAATTGAAATTACATTTGTAAAAGTGTAATATGCTACATTTATATAACAAGCTAAGGTTCATTTCTCAAGAACCTTTTTAATACATGTTATGTAATTTTGTAGCATATGTTTACGGAATCTCCTTTTAGGCCTCGTTGTTTTGGAGTATAGAGGAAGAGATGAGATTATAATAGAGGTGAGAGCCATTTAATGTTTTGTTTGCTTGCAGATTTGGAGAAGGAATTAAGATGGAAGAGGAGATTAGGTTGGGCCTTAAAAGGGGGATTGAAATGGAGGAAGTGGTGGCGGTATTATAAAAATAATCCACCGAACTAGAAATTTTTTATTTTTTTTACTTATATTTTTATTTTTTACATGTTAGGCATTTTTTTGAATATTAATGTTTTTTTTTATATATTTTTTGTTAAGTAAAAATCATTATTTTATTTGTTTTATTTTTTCTAAAAATTTTAATTTTTTTTAATTTTTTACATGTTGGGTATTTTTTTTTTAACATTAAAGTTTAATGTTTTTGTATTTTTTTATTTGTTTTATTATTTTATATTTATTTTATATAAAAATAATTTAACAATCCCTACACTAACAACTATCATCAAAACAAACACAATTTTACTTAATTCCCTCACTATGAATCCCTCCATTCTACTTCTGAAAACAACCGGGGCTTTAGAGTAAGGAGACTTTGTGATTTATAAATGAAATTATGTATTGTTATAATAATATTATGCATTTTGTAGTAGTCTATTAGAAGATTACATAATATTTGTCACAAATATACATAATATATAAAAAAAAATGAGTAACAAAGTGCATATGATATACACTTTTAAGAGGTGTACCAAAGAAAATATATCCTATTGTTTGGTGCACATAACTCAATCTTTTTCTTTTTTTCTTTAATTATGTTTCATGTTTGTAATTTTTTAAGATATATATATATATATTATTTTAAAAATATAATACATTAACTTAGGATAATCAACAAAATTTTGTTTGTGGTTGAATTTCAATACTGGAGCCCGGGTTAAGTTTGGAAAATTAAGTTCGGGTAAAAATTAGGAAGATTTACCAATAAATTTTAAATGTTAAATTTATGAACCAATTGGTTCCAATTTTTTTCTAATAAGCCGTTTAGTCCTTGGATATTTTGAGGGACCTTAATGCCCTCATTTGGATGTTATTAGATGCATGCTCTTTATGAGGGTATGTCAAGTGACACACACAATATGTCACGTGACACGCAATGGGTGCCACACATCAACAAAGTACACCAAGACTCTTTATGAGGGTGTGTCATGTGACACACAATATGTCACGTGACACGCACAATGAGTGTCACACATCAACAAAGTATACTAAGGCTCTTTATACTTTTTATCTTGGAGTATCACGTGACACACACAATGGGTGTCACACATCAACAAAGTACACTAAGGCTCTTTATACTTTTTGCCTTGGAGTGTCGCGTGACACACACAATGGGTGCCACACATCAACAAAATACACTAAGGCTCTTTATGCTTTTTGCCTTGGAATGATGTATGTCACGTGACACACACACGAAAGGATATAATTGACCACTCAATATTACTAAACAAAGGAAATATGATCAACTGGTAAGATATTTCCCCACTAATAGGACTAATCAGAACAATAGAAATAACCTTAGGACCAATCGGTAAAACTGTTTGTGAGATAGGATTTATTGATAAATATCTCTAAAAATTAAGTTGAATCTAAGAATTGGTTTGTGAATTAATTTCTTTAATAATTTTTTAATTTTTTACAAAAAGAAAAGACATGTAAAAAAAACTAATAAATTAATATTTTATATTCACTTTTGAATTTTTTTTCTATTTTAATCCATTGTCAAACATTACCTTAGGTTTGAACAAATCTTTTGGACTGTAAGGTCCGGAATGAATTGATTATTTTAATCAAAAAATTTTAATTAATTTTTTATAAAAAAAATATATATAAAAAGATACACAGATTGATATGATAATTTATATTAATTTTTTAATTATTATAATTAAGGCCAAGTTTGGGGACTTCAAAAAAAGTCAAAAAGCCAAAAAGTTACTCAAAAAGTTAAAAAGTTAACACTATTCACCAAAAGTCAACAATTACGGCTGCACAACTCCCAATTCAAATTTTTCCTTACAAATCAATTTTTACAATTTTTTATTACACATTTTTCAATAAAAAGTCAAAAAGTTAACCCAAACATCCATATTTTCAACCTCAATTTTTTAGTCCAAAAAGACAAAAAGTGCACTTTTTTAGTCTTCCCAAACTTGACCTAAATACCAAACGAGACCTAAATTGAGTCTAAAATTACTCTCCATAAATCAAATCCACTCAAATTACATCCTAAAAACCCTAGAAGAACATCCATGGCCCATTACTACCGTCTTATATGGATAGGTGGGGAATTGAATTATTTGGTGATGAGTGTGCAACTTTTGGGGAGCAAATATGGATGGGCCCTATACCCCACCAAAATTTTTATATCATATGGGATGGGATCCAAAGGAAATGATTTTTCTCTGGCCTTTTCTCCTCTGTTAAATTTTGTAGGAAAAGAAAATAAAAGATGGGACAACAAACAGGAAAAGAGAGCAAAAGGGTAGGAAACAACGCATCTATTATACAGGCAAGATTATGGTACATATTTCTTAATTTTATAATTAAAGAAAAAATAATATAATTTTATATTTTTTGAATTATAATTAAAAAAATTAAAAATTAATGAAACATTCTTCTCCAACTTTGTATAATAGGAGATGTTCAAGATTTTTTTTATTAGTTAAGGTTACTCGATAAAATTTCTCTGTGTGTTGGGGCTGAAATTTCTCTGAATCGGATAAAATTTTTCTAAGTTAGACAAAATTTTTCAAAGTTAAATTTTTTCTGTAAAAATTTTGAAGGATCTTAACTATTATAAAAATATTATATATCTTTTATTTTATAAAATCTTAATATCAAGAATTTTTAAAAAAATTCAAAAAAAAAGTCATAAGTAAATTAAACGTATTAAAATAATATTATAATTAAAAAAAAAATTGAAAAAAGGATGTGTATTGTTAAAAAAAAAATGTTAAAAATCTCAAAAATTTTACTAAATATCTTACATACATACATGTAAGACTAATCAGTCCCATAAAAATTTCATACGTATACAAGACATTTTATAAAAATTTTGTTAATACTTTTAGAATCGCTAGCCTTACCCATATTATTATTCTCCTTATTCTTAACAGATACTACAGAAAGTTGATACTTATGGTTCTCTCTCTCTCTCTTGCTCTCTCTAAGAGACCATCCTAATTTCTATGCAGACTGGCAAAATGGGTTTTTGATTTAGAGAATTTTATTGTTGGTGGGGAATTCTGTATTTGGGCATGAAAATCTTTTAGGGTTTGTTCCGAATATTCAATCCACAGCACAGCTCTACTGTTGATGATAGGTGAGTTTTCACTGAATTTATGTCAAAAGTCCCAAATTTATTCATATTATATTTGGGTTTGGATTATTTATTTAATCTTTCTTTACATTCTTGAGCTGTTTTTAACACTTCTGCGGACACCCATTTCATAATGTTATTAATCATATGAATTCAAATCTGTTTCTCAACTATTGCCAAAAAAACTGTTTTTCTTACTCTCTCTCTCTCTCAGAGCTAATCAGGTCACAACTTCAGTTGCCCGGTTTGGTCCCTTTGCTTCAGTCTCATTTGTGTTTCTCCAGTGAAACTTATATTTTCTTTTAACTGGGTTTTGTTATTTTTCAAAATGTTCCATTGTTTTCTTGGTGGATACACTTCATTTAAGTCTAATGGGTTAACTAATTTGATTGCATTGAAATTTACTCCAATTTGTTATGTATTTAGAGGTAGGAATAGTTTCTGAATGATTTGTAGTGTGCTTTGTATCTTGAGCTCTATGCTGCTGTGCTGTTCAATCATTTTTGGTTAATGTTGGTTCTTGCGATTGCAAGTTCTCAGGAGTTCCCCCTCTAGATTGGTCCAATTTTGGTATCTTTTAATGGAGTTTCTGGATACCAAATTGATATGACTCTCATCTACTTGCTTAGTTCTTCTTTCTTCTTTCTATTTTTCTCTGTCTCCCCCCTTTGTTGTTCCTTTTAATTTTATTTTATTTTTTTCTATTCAAATTCTATTAGGAGAACAGTTGATCTTCTGCTAAACTATGTCCATATTTGACCCTTCTCTGATCTCTTAGATTTTCATATTTGTATTATTCAAGTACCATTTCATATTTTTGATTTTATACAGTATGTTGAATAATCTCTAAGAATTCCTATTTATTGATTAATGAACTTACTTCTTCTTTCTTCTTTCACTTAATTACATCTAAGAAGATTTTGACCATGTTACAAATTACTCCCGGCTCCCAGATGACGAGCATGGAAGGAGAAAGAGGGTGAATTTACAATTTCACAAGGACAACAACTGGCGGTTTATGTAATTATGTTCAGGGTTAGTTTGAGTTATTTTTTATTTTTTATATATTTTATAGATTAGAGTGTTTCCGGACAGATTTTATGGCTTATTATTATTCACTTTATTTAGTTAGGGGTATTTTGATAATTTTGTTAATTGCTGGATTTGGCTGTAGGGGATGCTTCTATTTACGTCCACATTTCGCTCACATGCATTGGAATTTGTGCTCTCATATAGATGGGTGTTCTATCTCATATTTCTCGTCCACCATTCCAATTTTGGATGTCGTAAAATGGTTGTCCATTTGAAAATTTTAAGGTGTTCAATCCGATGATTTTACAATATTATTTTTTTGTAAATGAGTGTGCATGTACTAATAGTATGGATTAAGTGTATAGTTTTGGCTATTAATAGTGTGAATAAGATTATAGTCGTCTTAAGCAGTTGGATTTCCCGTAGTGATAGTAGTGAATAACACATCAAAATATAGTCTCCGTATTTGAACCCTGTTGTTTTTATGTTCTTTTGATGTTTTGACTACATTAATTAATTTCATGTAGTAGTGAAGGATGGATAGGGGAAGATTGGATTTAAGATTTCATCACTCCGGGTCAACGCCATCAGAGGAATCAGCTTTGGGTTTGGAAAAGAACTACTGCAATCATCTCAATCTACCTTCATCCAGTTCACCATCACGACAAGCTTTCACGCCAGGTAATCAGCATTCTGAGAGCAACACAGCCTACTTCTCATGGCCCACTTCCAGCAGGTTAACTGATGCAGCTGAAGATAGGGAAAACTACTTCGGAAACCTTCAGAAGGCAGCTTTGCCCGAAACTGTAGGGAGTTTGCCTACGGGGCTGCAAGCTACTACCTTGCTTGAACTGATGACCATTAGGGCATTCCACAGCAAGATCTTGCGACATTTCAGTCTTGGCACAGCAATTGGTTTTCGGATTCGTCGGGGTGTTTTAACTGATATACCAGCTATTCTTGTCTTTGTTGCTCGGAAAGTTCACAGGCAATGGCTCAGCCGCATACAATGTCTACCAGCTGCTCTAGAGGTTAAGAGTCGTATCACTTCTCTTAGCATTTTCTGATTTCTGAAGGGATTTCTTTTAAACTACATGTTCAATTTTAGGTTATGCAGTGGTTGAAAATCCTTCAAAATCTAGTTGAAGTACATACAATAATTTGTGTGGCAATGGTTTGAATTTGGTTAAATTAATGAACTATCTGACATTTTTAAGTGTCTTGGAAACTGAAAAGCTTGGAAAATTTTAGAAGGTTCTTCTATTCTGTTATTGAATTTTTGTATTTAGAAGTCAAATGCCTCTTGTATTTATTGAGCAGGGACCTGGTGGCATATGGTGTGATGTTGATGTTGTAGAATTTTCTTACTATGGTGCACCGGCAGCAACTCCAAAAGAACAATTGTATAATGAGCTTGTAGATTGCTTGCGGGGAAGTGATCCATACATTGGTTCTGGTTCCCAGGTATGCTACCGTTTCTTCTTCTTCTTGTTTTTCTTGAATTTTTGAATTTGGTTAAAGTAATGAACTATCTGACATTTTTAAGTGTCTTGGAAACTGAAAAGCTTGGAAAATTTTAGAAGGTATGAAGCACGGGTACTCCAAAAATAGTGCCGTACGAGTACCGGGTACTTACCGGGTGCGGGTACGCGTACCGGTACGGCGATACGCGTACCGGGTACGGCAAAAGAGGGTCCGGTACGTTTGGCTTATTCGGGTACGGCATGGGTACGCCACGGGTACGCCATGGGTACGGCGTGGGTAAACATTAAAAATTGATACTGTATTAGTTGATTAGTAATTGTTGGGAATGATGCAATTTTATGTATTATGCAAATTGCAATTGATTAGCAAAAAGAAAGATTTTAAAAATAAATTATGATCACAAATTCACAGTGCATAACATGTCAAAGTGAGAGATTTCACAAATATTATTTTTAACGCTTAATGGTTTTAAATTATAGGAAAATGAGTAGTTCTTTTTTTAGTTTTAATATTTAATTTTAATTTGTAGGTTGGATCCTTTAATCAAAATTATATTTTAAAAAAAATAAAAAAATATCGGCGTACCGTAGCCGTACCCGTATCGTACTTTTTTTGAGTTTTGCCGAATCGGCGTACCCGCACTCGTACCCGTACCGTACTCGTACCCGCACCCATGCTTTCTTCTATTCTGTCATTGAATTTTTGTATTTAGAAGTCAAATGCCTCCTGTATTTATTGAGCAGGGACCTGGTGGCATATGGTGTGATGTTGATGTTGTAGAATTTTCTTACTATGGTGCACCGGCAGCAACTCCAAAAGAACAATTGTATAATGAGCTTGTAGATTGCTTGCGGGGAAGTGATCCATACATTGGTTCTGGTTCCCAGGTATGCTACCGTTTCTTCTTCTTCTTGTTTTTCTTGAATTTTTCTTTTCTAAGTGGTCTGTGACAGAGCTCTTGTTTCTGGTCCCCAACAATAATCAACACAAATAGTTTTGTGGTTCGGTGACTGCCTTATTGAATGTAGTTTTGTACGTTCATATTCACGGTTTGTGAACTCAAAACTCCTCCTGATGATAACTTTCTTAATGTTGTATATGTACCAACTTTTTAGAAATAATTGCATCAAAATTTTCTGTTAGCTGCTCTAATAGCATGATAATCTCTTCTTTTTTTTTAATGAGTTTTAGCCAGAACGAGGTGTGGATTGATGCACTTTTCTTTGTCCTTATGGCCTTTTATTACTGCAATTTCGATATATTAATGAGCATTTGATCACACATCCAGTTAGTTGTTTCTAAGTTGTTGGATCTTGAAATTAAAGAAATCACTTCTTGTCTGTCTAGGTTGCGAGCCAAGAAAAATGTGGCACATTGGGTGCCATTGTAAAGAGTCGAACAGGAAATCAGCAGGTCGGTTTCCTCACAAATCGCCATGTGGCGGTTGACTTGGACTACCCAAACCAGAAAATGTTTCATCCCTTGCCACCGAGCATTGGACCTGGGGTTTATCTGGGTGCTGTAGAGAGAGCAACATCATTCATAACGGATGATCTTTGGTATGGCATATTTGCCGGAACAAACCCAGGTAATTTAATTCCTTATTTTTTTATATTGTTAATGAACTATCGGTATCTATGCCAACAGATTAGTTACAGTTTCCAATGAAAGGCTTGTTATCAAATTATAAATTATTTCACTGGTTGTGTAGTGCTTGCTTGGGTCCTTCAACCCCTGAAATTAGAATAATGATTTGCAAACATAAAGTTCATACAGAAAGCACATTCAAAATGGTGTGTTAATGGTATTTTGCAATTATGAAGACAATAGTCTGTCTTTTGTTTAAAAATGAAGGGACCACAAAAAGCCACATCATTCTATATAGAAATTCTCTACTAAAATTTCTGCTTGTGTATCGTTACTCCTGAAAGTAACAATCATGGACCAACTGGATAACCTTATGACCTACAAGGCCTATGGTGAAAAGTGAAAACCAACCCGAACTTTGTTTAGATTTGGCATATTTGAAACAACCCTATTGGAAAAGAACGTGGTCATACTTGATACCACCCTCAGTCAAGCCTTGGGGCATTTGCAACCTTTTCAATTAATCTCACTATTTTCAATTGCTAGTGAAATAGAGTGAATACCGTCTTGCATGTGGAGAGACAAACAGAGAAACAAACGAAAAGAGAAGCAGATAACCAAATAGAGAAGAAGAAACTAAATGGAGACCAAAAATCAAATGCCAAGAGAGAGACTTGAATCTAAGACCTCTCTCAACTTGAGTTTTGACACTATGTTAGATCACTAATTCTCCCAAAACCTTAAGCTGTTAGGAAATAGGCTTAACAATGTATATCAAGTTATCCAATAGGTACATCATTTTAGGGCAAGGGATGATTGTTTCTTTAGCACTGCTGCCCTCTAAGTTGGGTTTATGTATTTCATCAAGATTGTTAGGTTTGGACTTTGGATTTGAAGTAATTCTTCTTGTTAGAACATTGTCTCCATCAAAGCTTGGTGGATTTTATTTTCTTCTTAAATAATATGCTGAAAAAGTCTCTGAATTTACATACATGCTAATGAGTTTGAATTTCTCATCATTTCCTGACCCCCCCCACATGCCCATCACAATCTGGTGATCCTGCAGAAACATTTGTTCGAGCCGATGGGGCTTTCATTCCTTTTGCCGAAGATTTTAACATATCCAATGTAATGACATCCGTGAAAGGCATAGGTGAGATTGGCGATGTCAATAGCATAGATTTGCAGTCTCCAATCAACAGTCTTATTGGCAGACAAGTCGTGAAAGTTGGAAGAAGCTCTGGATTGACTACCGGGACGATAATGGCTTATGCTCTTGAGTACAATGATGAGAAAGGGATTTGTTTCTTTACTGACTTTCTTGTTGTTGGCGAGGACCAACAGACATTTGACTTTGAAGGTGATAGTGGAAGCCTTATTCTCTTAACGGGTCAAAATGGGGGAAAACCACGCCCTGTTGGGATCATTTGGGGCGGGACAGCTAATCGGGGTCGTTTGATATTAAAAGTTGGCCAACCCCCGGAGAATTGGACTAGTGGAGTTGACCTAGGGCGCCTTCTTGACCTCCTTGAACTTGATCTCATTACAACCAATGAAGGCCTTCAAGGTTTGTTCTTCTAAACCATCTAATTATCAAGCTTGTCTATAATATAGAATGTAATTTACTTTTCGAACAAAGTGGAATTGCCTATTGGGAAATGTTGTTTGTGGAACTTGTGAAATTATGATAGATTAATAGCTATAAATCTAAATTTCTTTTTTTTTTATCATTAGATCTTAAAAGTTATTTTGTTCAAACTTTTAATGTGTTTCACTTGTTCAAGCATTGGACACGTCTCCTAAGTGTCCAAGGCATGACCGAGTTATTTATTTATTTATAAAAATAACGGAACATGTTTGGATGTGTGTCCAACACATATCAGAAATGTCCGACAAATGTTGAGAAGCATCTGACGGGCAAGTGTTGGATATGGACACACCACTCTCAGTAGTGTTCGTGCTTCTATCTGTTGTACCTATTATCTTGCTTTGACCATTGCTATGCTAATTTCTTTTCTTATTTTTTTTATTTTTTGACCTAGCTGCACTGCAAGAGCAAAGAAATTCCTCTGCAGTGGGCATGGACTCGACCGTGGGAGAGTCATCTCCCCCTGACCAGCTGCAACCAAAGGACAAAATTGGCGAAAACTTCCAATCTCTTGGGCTAAACATCCAGGAAGTTCCCACCGAAGGAGAGTCCTATCAAGGACTGACAATCCCACAATTCACGCATGATGAGTTTCACATTGAAAGTGGTACTGAAGCGTCTCCCAATGTAGAGCACCAGTTTCTTCCAAGTTTTATCGGAAGATCTTTACTGCATCAAAACAATCATCAGCAAAACACAGCATCAAGAAACCTAGCAGTGTTGAGAAATGGCTTGGATGAAGAGAATTTTGTTTCTTTGCAGCTTGGTGAGTCTGAACCAAAGCGAAGAAAGCAATCTGATTCTCCATTTGACACTTGAAACGCAAAATGAAGTATTGCTTATCAGAGTGCCCTTCTCATTCTGGTTCAAATTCTGGGGTTGCAAAATTTGAATTTTGTTAGAAGTTTCAAGCTGCAGAGAGGAACCCGTGTCGTGCTTCCAATTAAGCACATTATTTTTGTTTGGTTTTCTTTTTTGTTTTTGTTTTTGTTTTTGTTTAGCATAATTTGCGTTACAACTATAGGTTAGGTATGCTAGTTGTACAGTATTTATAAGACAAAGATGTATATTTTTCCTTATTTTATTTGTATTATTCTAATAAACTCATATTTGTACTGTGGGACAAGAATAATATTTTTACCAGCAATTAGTCTTAATTTTCTCATATATATATATATATATATTTTGGTTGAATTCTATTGACGCATGAATTAATGCTTTTAACGTAAAAAAATAAAAGAAAAAAGAAGGGCTTATTATAAATATTTTCTCATTCTTTTCCCCCTTTATCATTTACATAGATATTATCCGAACAAATTATATTTATCCCAATCCCCTCAACTATGATTCGTTATCACTTTATGCACTTAAATTAAAAATTACACTTGAGCTCTCATCGTTTAACTTTTTAAAATTTAAACCTTAATAATGAAAATATCTTTTAACTCTGGGGACAAATCACAATTTATCCCCTAGAATTTTTCAATTAAAAATTTTACATTTTATTACATAAAATTAACAATTTGTATCAATCTAAAGCTTTGATTGACACTTTGTTGCATAAATTGATAGTAAATTCACATGTATGTTTTCTTAAATTTTGTGAACTACTTAAAAGAACGTTATTCCATCATTTTCAATATTTTATCTCTCTTTGCTTCATTTGTCCTACCCACCTCAACCGTCATAGATGCTTGCACTATAGCTTTGCTGCTGCCTTAGGTACGATATTGGAAGGGAAAAAAAAAAGTTATTTTAATTATTTTATAATATTTGAGATGTCATTTGTAAATTATATATTAAATTTTTATATATTTATGTAAGGAATTCTTAATAGAAAGTTATATTATATTGATATAAATTAATAGTTAAATGTAGCACAATGTAACATTTTTTTTGCTAAGAATATAAGTAATATTGAGTGATAGTTTAAGAGATAATTGTAATTTATTGAAAGGATATTTTGGTTATAAATGTCTAAAAGGTAAATTACATTTTGCCCCTTTTATTTTTGGTCATTTTTTCACTTTGGTCTTTTAAGTTTATTTTTTTTCACTTTGACCCTTTATGTTTTAAGTTTTTTCACACTTTATTCTTAAAACTAATTTTTGTTAAAAATTAGACAGAAAATGACACATTATCAATTATGTGACATAAAATATTTTATTATATATGACTCACACCTCTAATATAAACTTAAATTCTAATATAATAATATATTTTTTATATTATGTAACAGTTATTATGGTATTTTCTGTCTAATTTTGAACAAAAATTAGTTTTAAGAGTAAAATGAGAAGAACTTGAAACATGAAGGATTAAAGTGAAAAAAAAAAACTTGAAGGGTCAAAGTGAAAAAATGACCAAACATAAACGGGGTAAAGTGTAATTTCCTATGTCTAAACTAAAATAAATTAGTAGATGAATGGAGTTAAATATTGCAATTTTTAATTTAAAGGGGTAAAATGATAGGGAATAAAAGTTGAGGGGGTAAAGTGTAATTATTTATCCAAATTACATGCCCATCCCCCCACCAGCCATTACACGCAGATATGGAGCTTCTATCCCTTGCGCCAAGTTCCAAATGCAGGACCTATTCCATCCCAACCATGGTACTCTCTCTCTCTCTCTCTCTATGGTATTTTCTATCTAATTTTGAACAGAAATTAGTTTTAAGAGTAAAATGAGAAGAACTTGAAACATGAAGGGTTAAAGTGAAAAAAAAAAACTTGAAGGGTCAAAGTGAAAAACTGACCAAACATAAACGGGTTAAAGTGTAATTTCCTATGTCTAAACTAAAATAAATTAGTAGATGAATGGAGTTAAATATTGCAATTTTTAATTTAAAGGGGTAAAATGATAGGGAATAAAAGTTGAGGGGGTAAAGTGTAATTATTTATCCAAATTACATGCCCATCCCCCCACCAGCCATTACACGCAGATATGGAGCTTCTATCCCTTGCGCCAAGTTCCAAATGCAGGACCTATTCCATCCCAACCATGGTACTCTCTCTCTCTCTCTCTCTCTCTCTCTCTCTCTCTCTCATACACAGACACAGACACAGATATCAGTATAAAGCTTGAGAGGATGTTCAAAATTAGGGAAATGTGAAGGAAGGAGGAGGAATTGGTCAAAAGCAGAGAGAAGAGGTGAAGTTGATGAAAAGCTTGGTTCCACCTCTAATGGCGGCACTTGTAGCTTTATCTCCGGTCTCCAATCCCCCAGGTAACACACACATGCTTTATTTGCCCTTGCTTTTCCATAAAAAATACCACAATGCCATTATATCATCAATTGCTTCTTGTTCTTGGTTGAATTTTAGTTTTGAAGAGACCGTATATGTATATATATATATATATTGTGTGTGTATGTACAACGTTCAGAATAATTATAGAACGAGTAGAATTAATATTAAATTAGAAATTAAAAAAAAATGCAATTTGTTTCATAAGTTTGACATAATAATTACACATATATATCCCCTTCGGTTAGGACCGAGCCAAGTTATTCGTGAATAGCTCAAGTTGAGCTCGTTTGAGCTTGATCTTAATCAAGCTGAGTTGGAGTAAACCCCAGCTTGGCTCAATAATACTCGTGAACTGAAAAACATATATATATATATATATATATTTAATTATGTATAAATAAAATTTTATTATTTTATTTTATTTTTCTATTTGTGTTTGGTGATTGTGTAAATTTACATATTTTATTGATGAAATTTATTATTAGATAATTATTTCTTTTATATTTTTCTCTTTTTTCCTCTTAATAAGAAAATTAATTTAAGTTTGATTCTCGAGCTCGAGTTTCTTAAATACTTGCAGTCAAGTTTCTCAAATACTTGATAAACCGAGTTCAAACTCAATTTTTTAAGCTTGACTTGAGCTCGGCTCTAGCTCGACTTATTCTCAGCAAACCGAGCTCAAACACCCAAATGGTGGGGTTGGGTCGGTTGCAGCCCTACCTTTAGTAAGGTTAAAGCAAACGAAACTAATGTAGATGGATATATGGATTGCAAATGAAGGGATTTGAGATTAATTATGTATTTCAAATTGTCCCCAATGTATGCGCTCTGCATATTATATATTGTTGCATGTACAAATTGCATACATGATTAACATGTGAGGTCTTATGGCTCATCATTAGAATGGACCATGGGTAAAATTGTCTTCTAATGTTCAAGTGAAACATTGGATGATAGTTTTTCCAGTTGTATACTATGAAGCATGGACACGGCAGTTTTCATGCTGTGGCAGTGTCTGACACGGGGACACGCCGGGGACACGGGGACACGTCGGGGACACGTACGGGACACGCCGGGTGGCGTGTCCCTTTAATTTAATTATTTTTTTGCAGGGGACACGGTGGAGACACGGCGGAGACACGCGTGTCTACCAAATCTGGACACAGAGCAAAAAAAGAAGAGTAAAGGAGAAGAGTGAAGGTGTTGAAACAAACCTGAACTTCGATCCAGTCCAGTCGACTCGCCGGCGACCTCCATGACCTCCACCGTAAGCCGTCGACCTCGACCTCCATCCCCTTCGACTTCGACGATCCAGTCGCCCTTTGACTTCGACGAGCTCTATCTCTCTCACCTTCTCTCTCTCCCTCGCGATCGCGATCGCGATCGATCGCTTCTTCCTCTCTCTCTCTCTCTCTCGCGTCTCTGTCTTCTTTCATCTACTGGACTCGTATATATATAATATATAACTATTATTATTATAATAATAATAACTGATAGTATTATTATTATAATAGTTATAAAGGATGATTATATAACTATTATTATTATATAACTATTATATTATATATATTTATACATATTAATAAAAATAAATAAACATGTATATAAAATAAAATAAAAAAATTAATTAGAACATATTACTTAAAAAATATAATAAATAAATAAAATAATTAATATGTATTAAAATAAAAATATTTATAAAAAAATTAAAAAATCTGCCGTGTCCCCCGCCGTGTCCGTGTCCCCATTTTTTAAAAATTAACGTGTCCCGTGTCCGTGTCCGTGTCCGTATGCGTGTCCGTGTCCGTGTCCGTGCTTCATATTTTGTATATCCAAGACAAAGAGAGACATTGTGTCCATTTATATCACCATTCTGTAATAGCTAAAAGTCGTTTTGCAGCACTTTTGCATATCCACTCATTTTTTAGAATGTATTGCCTTAAAACATAAATATATGATGTCATTGCTTGAGGCCGACGTTTCTATTGCTACATTTTGTTCTCCCCAGACTCCGCTTTACCAGGAGCCACATGAATTGGCACGTCTCTTTTTTTTTTAATTTTTTTTTTAGATATATATGTTTAATTTTTACCCACAAAATAGTTCCCATATTGAAAAAAACTTGTTGAAGGTGAAGCTTGGGTAACCAGCTTGGGGTATGATAGAATATCACCCCCTATTTATAAATGAAGATTAGGGTTTACAAAAAACACAATTACAAGATGATCCCTGAGGGCATAAAATGATTACAGACCCTCGTGTAACTTTCGGCTAATAAAATATGCTAACACTTTCGGCTAATATAATATGCTAACACTCCCCTTCAAGCTGGTGCGAAGATATCTCTCATGCCCAGCTTGCCTAATATTTCATAAAATGGTTTATTCCCAATCCCCTTGGTGAGAATGTCAGCAAGTTGTTCACTAGACTGGACAAAAGGAGTACAAATGGTACCACTAGTGAGTTTCTCCTTAATGAAGTGGCGATCAATCTCAACATGTTTTGTCCTGTCATGTTGAACTGGATTGTGAGCGATGTTGATGGCGGCCTTATTGTCACAGTATAACCGCATGGAGTCCGTCTGATCAATACCTAGATCACTCAACAATAATTTGATCCATAAAAGTTCACACACACCTTGTGCCATAGCTCTAAACTCAGCTTCTGCACTTGACCTGGCAACCACATTCTGTTTCTTACTCCTCCAAGTAACTAGGTTGCCGCCAACAAATGTGCAATACCCTGAAGTTGATCTCCTATCAGTTACTGACCCAGCCCAGTCAGCATCTGTATAGGCTTCTACACGAAGATGATCATACTTTGAAAAATACAGACCCTTACCAGGAGCAGACTTCAAATACCTCAAGATTCTCATGACAGCCTCAAAGTGAATCTGATGAGGAGCATGCATAAACTGACTAACTACACTGACAGCAACAGCAATATCAGGACGGGAGTGAGATAGGTAAATGAGCTTACCCACTAATCGTTGATAGCTCCCCCTATCCACAACTTCTCCTCCTTCATCATCCCCCAATTTCTGATTGGGTTCCAGTGGGGTGGCACATGCCTTGCAGCCAAGCATCCCAGTTTCCTTCAACAGGTCAAGCACATATTTTCTCTATGAGATAAATATCCCATCCTTAAAGCGAGCAACTTCAATTCCCAAAAAATACTTCAAGCTTCCCAAGTCTTTGATTTCAAACTCGTTGGCTAAATATTTCTTCAACAGACGTATTTCCCCACTATCATTGCCTGTAAGAACTATGTCATCTACATAAACAATAAATGCTGTAGTCTTACCGTGTGAAGAATGTTTCACAAACAAGGTGTGATCTGCCTGACTCTGTTTGAAGCCATATTTAAACATAGCATGAGTGAATCTCTCAAACCAAGCCCTTAGAGACTGTTTGAGACCATATAATGACTTCCGAAATTTGCATACTTTGCCTTCTGTTTGATGATCCGCAAAACCCGGAGGAATGTCCATATATACTTCTTCTTCGAGGTCACCATGGAGAAAAGCATTCTTGACATCAAACTAATAAAGCGGCCAATCTAGATTAGCAACTAGAGAGAGAAGTACTCTGACTGAATTCATTTTAGCCACGAGTGAGAAGGTCTCCTGATAATCAATGCCATATGTCTAAGTAAACCCTTTTGCCACAAGTCTTGCCTTATAACGCTCAATAGACCCATCTGCTTTGTGTTTCACAGTATATACCCATTTACAGCCCACAGGTCGTTTGCCCGTAGGTAACTCAGTCAATTCCCAAGTGCCATTCTTCCTAAGTGCTTTCATTTCCTCAATCATAGCTAGTTTCCACTCAGAGGTAGCAAGAGCATCCTGAAAATGGTTAGGAATGCTAACAGAGGAAATATTGGACACAAACGCTATATATGAGGATGACAAATGAGAGTATGATACAAACTGGGAGATAGGATGTTGAGTACAAGATCTCACACCCTTCCTTTTGGCAATAGGAACATCAAGATCAATAGGGGGAACTTAAGAGAATTCAAAGGTTACCTAGACTCTTATCAGAAAAGCAGGAGATGGCAGTGGAGTAGTCGAGACGGTCCCGTGTATCCAGTTTAACTTGTTTTTTCTGTTCTATGTCCCGGACATAAACTGACACGTCTTATTCTTTGTTTTTTTTTTTTTTTTTTTTTTTTTTGTTTATTATATATATGATATATATATTGATTTATTATGTATACATGTTAATTTTATATATAAATATATATATTAGCTAGATTTATATATTATCATGAAGATATTATAGTTTATATATACCTCGGGTTGAGAGATCCAGAGGACGACGAGGGGGTGGTGGAGACAGAGCGACGAAGGGGAGAGGCGACGAAGACACAGAGGACCGACGAGGGCGATGAGACGAGCGACGAACCGCTGGAGGAGCTGAGAATCAACGAGCTGAGAGGAGCTGAGATCGACGAGTGACGAAGCTTGAGACAAGACGAAGCCAGAAATGACGACTGGGTGGCTGAAAATCGACCTCAGCAGATGATCCAACTAGGTATCGTTTTGATCCTAACCCTAGAGGTGAAGCTCTGATACCATTGAAGCTTGGGGTAACCAGCTTGGGTGTATGATAGAATATCACCCCCTATTTATAAATGAAGATTAGTGGTTTACAAGAAACACAATTACAAGATGTCCCTGAGGGAAAAATGCTTATTACAGACCCTAAGTTGTTAACTTTTTCGGCTAATAAAATATGCTAACACTTTCGGCTAATATATATATGCTAAACAGTAAACATGTCGTAAGGGGTGAGTCGGAAGGATTTGGGAACTTAAAAAATTTGCAGTGCTCCATTAATTATGATTAGGAGGAAAGACAGGCAGGCGGAGTTATGGAAGACATGAGGGACCCTGTGTTTAGTGAAGATGAAATTAAAGAGTTTGTTTTGAATGTGCGAGGGTTAAGATGATAGGGACCAGGCAGATGGCAAGTCAAATCGAGATAGTGAGAACGCCAGAGCATATGTGGTGTGCTTCAGGAAACAAAAATTGAAAGATTGGAGGGGAGGTGGTACGAGAAATTGGGGTGGTCGTTTTGTTGGAATGGACTTGCTTGCCTACAATGGCACAGCAGGGGGGTTTCTTATTTGCTAGGACAAGAGGGTTGGTTAAGAGAGAGGAGGAGAGATAGGGGATTTTCTTGTGCTTGTTTTATTTAGGTGTATGGAGGAAGTTTTCGGTAGGTTGTTTACTGGAGTGCATGGTCGGTACGGAATAATAGAGAGGGATGCCTTTCTTTAGAAGGCTGGAGACTATTGCGTTTTCCCCGCGTCGAAAGCCGTGGTGTGTTAGGGGAGACTTTAATTTGGTGAAGATAGCCCGACAAAGAAGATGGGAGTAGTCGGGGGACGGGGGCTCAATCACCTTTCTGTTATTTGTTTGACGACTGCAGTTGATGGAGACTGGTGCTCCTCTCATAAGTGAACTTTTCTTAGTCGATATGCAAACAGATGTCTCGGATTGACAGATTCTTGTTACGGGTAATGGGAGGAACACTTTTCGAATGGTTCATCTTCGTCTTTCTCGTCCAGTGTTAGTATCATTGGCCTCTTTCTGTTTAAGATAATGGGGCCGTCGTGTGGGCCTACGCCATTTCGGTTGAGAGCATTATGGTTACAATCGGAAGACTTTGTTGGATGGGTCATGGAAGTGGGTGAAGAATATTGCGGTTAGTGGCACGTAGTTTGTATGTTGGCTCAAAAGTTAAAATTGCTTTAAGAAGACTTAAAGCGGGGAACACGGAGGTTATGGTTACTGGAGATTCAGAAGGCAGCAGTGGTGGGGATTTTCAGTCTTTAGATGATCCAGTGATGACTGGGGTTTTGTATAGGTGATATTGCTAGAGAGAGGGCAGGCACAAGATTATGTCAGTCTCACTGAGTGTCCAACAAGGCTAAGTTGAAGAGGCTTACGGATAAACGAATTCCTGTAACATGGAAATAGCATCACAGGGTAACCCAAGATGCTAGAATGCGGATAGAGGGTAGAGATCTGAGCACGGATAAGGAGATCAAGGAAGGTATAGGGTTTTATTTCAGAATTGTTCAAGGACACACGGAAAGTGCGTAGCGGCCTGGGGTTTGGACGGGTTTACTTTGATGTCATTAGTGAAGGGAATAAGGAGGCTTTAGAGAGGTCTTTTTTCGAATTTGAGGGTTTTTGGGCGTTTGAAGTATGAGTGGGATAAGTCAGGACAG